TTATAACATCGACTGAGATAAAAGAATAAAATAAAATATTAAACTCACGATGTATCTCGCTGCATTGCGCGAGTACGCTTCTAGTATATATATATATATGTATATATATATGTGATTTACTTTACAAACCATGTTATTTGTACAAACCGTACAAACCTCATTCAACTAATCACAATTTTATATTTTGTCTAATTTTTTGTAATTATGAGAGGTTGATTAATCATTTTTATTGTGGAGGGTATTAATCATGGATATTATCATCTTCGTTATATTAAATTTAGAGAAATACATGAAATAATTTCATTAAAATTTCATAAATTAATATGTAACAACTTCATAACCATATATGAAACAATTTCATAAGATTAAACAATTTCATCAAAAATTTTCATATGATTAAACAATGAAATTGACGAATGATGGTGCTTTGCACGGTTTTGTACAAATTTTGTGCATATATATATATATATATATATAGACACACACACATGTATATATAGACTTAGGATCATGTGAGACCATATGTTTTTCGTAAGACCCGTAAGACCAATTCTCAACATTTGGATTAGATCTACAATCTGAACATTCATAATCACAAAATTGCCACGAGACTTCTCAATAATCACAATATTGCCACCGTACAACTTTAGACAATTAGATCATTAGCTTATAAAGTTGATCAATGAACATAAATTGGTCTTACGGGTCTCACGTGAACCCAACTATATATATATATATATATATATATATATAGAGAGAGAGAGAGAGAGAGAGATAGAGATAGAGAGGAGGGTTAATGTTGTAATCAACCCTTTAATAAATTGGAACTTCTAGTTATCGTTTGAAAGAGACAACAACTATTATAAACAAAAGCATTCTCGATGATCAATTTCTTTATTTACTTTTTTATAAAGATGAAAACAACACAATAAAAACAAAAGATACAAACACGTGTTTATAAATATAATTGGTTTTTGATCCATATCAAACCTAAATACATATCTTTAAGTCCCCTTTTAACACTCGGGTGTTTGCCTATGGTCTCTTTTTGGGTCACTACAATAATCATACACTTTATAGTTCCTTTGAACCCATTGCATCGCGACTAGTTGTTGGCGGCTCAGCCCTCCGGTGGTGGTTGGAGAACCAGATGGAGGCTGACACGTGGGTTGTGAGTCAGTGGCGCAACCTTTGATCTTGAAGTTGTTGTACCTACCGACAAAAGGTTGATACCCGTAATTCGCTTTGTATCTGCCGTTTTCAGTCGCCCATGAAGATGCATCCCATATTGATCCATACATATACATGGGTCTTAAAGGAAATGTTGTGTCGCTTTTCCTCGGGTACCTTCTAATTGGCACATCGTCCACAAAAAATCTGCATGCATGCCATTTCCAAAGATTACGAACTTTTAGGTCTTGGTTTTTTCTTGACTATATTAGAATCCAAAAGATTGTAATCATCACCAATATTCATTGAATTATTTATATGACACGTGGAAAGTTGAGAAATTTATGAGGATGTAAAAGTTATCGAGGACAAGTCATAATATATATATATATATATATATATATATATATATATATATAAATGAGAACGATAATCAAATAAGAGAACATGAAAACGACCAACTTATGTATAAAATTACATGTGATTTTACACTAACAGTCAACACAAAAGTGTGTGGGCGATGTGATAAATCACATGTGATTCAATCATTTTTTTTATTCTTTTATTCGATTGGCGTTCTTGTATGAACCTAACTTTTTTCTATATAAATATAACACATAGTGTTGTTGTATCGTGAAAAAAAGGAAACAAATTCAATAGTATGTATACTTATACTATATTATAAAACATTTGACAAAAACTCTTAAAAACAATTTGCATGAAATACTTAAAATTTGTGTACTTAAAATTCAAGATTACAAGTGAGTTTGCGTAAGTACAACTTATTAAAACTCTATTTTTAAATTTGTGTAACTAACTGCAGATAAACATAATCAAATACAGAATAAACATTCATTTTAAATATAGAAAATCTAAAATATAATTTTGATAATCATTAAGTTTTAAGAGAATGTTTAATTATTATCTTCATAAAAAATTATATGTTAAACCAAAAATAAATTA